AGCAAAGCCAAGTAGTCATGGATTGAAGCCTCTGAGACTGAGTGAAAAGAAATCTTTCATCCTTTAAACTATTTTCTCAAACATTTTGTCACAACAGCAGAAAGCTATGACAAAGGAGAAGTATGATTACAGAAGTGGAAAGAGCAAACCTGGCTGGTTGTGATGGGCGTATCTTACTTTTGTTCTGTTTTGTTTTTTGAGACAAGGTCTCACTATGTAATCAGACTGGCCTTGAACTCACCATGTAGCCCAGGCTGGCCTCAAACTCATGGCAGTCCTCCTGCCTCCGCTTCCTGAGCACTGGGATTATAGGAATGCACCGCCACGCCTGGCTATCTTACTTCAGTAAATTTTATAAAAATGTGTTCACGCAAATACATTGCTGGAGCTGTAAGTGAAGGGCCCAAAGCTTCAACTTCACAGGCTGCTTGGTGAATCCTTCCTGCTCACGTCATTGTCACCTGTCATGAGCATTTCTTCTCTCTGTCTGTTTCTGTGCAAGGTTGAAGGAAATAGCGATTTGAGATGGTTCTCTTGTGTGTCCTATTTGGAGAGAGGCATTCCAGCACCTCCGGTTGAAATTGTAAATAATCTCAGCTAAGAGAAGCATTGTTCCCCTGTATGTGAAGTTTTTAGTACATTATGGGTTAGCTAAACCTTTATAACAGCTACCGTGGGCACCTGGCCAAAATAAACAGTTTTGTTTCCATGGAACACGTATGTGAATTTCCTAACATCTTCCTCACACATGAACTCTCCTGTAAATGGTGGAATGTCAGCATGAATTACAGAGGCTTAGAAGAAGAGAACACATAAATCCAGGCTGTCTTGGTCTCGTTTGGTTGATTTGCCTTGTAGCTTTATTATTCTACCTATTCAAGTAAAGTTTCTTGCTCCCTTTTGTTTTTTGGTACTGGGAATCCAGCTCAGGACCTCGCACTCGCCAGGCAGGTGCTGTGCTGCTGAGCGCTCTCCCTGGCCCCCACACTCACGTTAGGGAATAAACTTAGCATATTACGCTAAGATGCTTTGCTATCTTTTACTTGTCTTCCAGATTTAAAACTAGTACATGAAGCTGAGGAAAGGTACATTTTCAGCATCATCCGTGTTTCTTAACGACCACTTGTTTCTACTATGGAAGCGTCAGCTGTGTTGAAGTCAGTTTTCTAGGCCATCAGGGCTTAGTAGATGGCGCTCGTGGCTTTTTTCCCTCTTTGTGTGGTGGTGGTGGGAATCACAGAGGCCATGTACTTATATGTTAGAAAGGTGGAGAAGCGAAGTGCAAGCTGAAATTACCGGTTCTTTTCCATCGGCTCCCAGAATGCACCTCTCTGATCATTGTTTCGTAGGTGAGGAGTCTGAGGCTTGGGGATTACAGTGGTGAGAGAGCTGTGTGGAGAACCAAAGTCTCTAGGTATCTAGCCTTGGCATTCAGAGATTCCCGAGACCAAGCAATAGTGCAGGGATTTGGAGGATGATTTCTTCCTTCTGGTTGTCCTGGTGTTTTGCAGTCTGTTTTATTTTTTTTAACTTGTAAGGCAGTTCATGACCTACCTCTTCAGGCTGTAATACTGAAAACTGTGATCATAGAGGATTTACGTACCCAAATGCTAAATAAAAAGTGTCTCAGTCATGGGAAAAAACCCCGCCAACTTTGCTTTCATACTTTTTTTTCTGTTTAGAGAGAATTCAGAGATTAGTCAGAACTGACAGGGCGACTTGGAATTTGGCGTAAGAATGTATAACAGTGTCGTGATTACTCATGTTTCCCTAGAATTTTTTACATTTGCCACTAAAGCAAACCCCACTAGATTCAAAAGAGCTCTCTTTATAGAGTAGGAAGAGAGGCAGATGATTAAAAACCTTGGCAAGTTTGAATTATAATGCTTTTTGCAAGTATAGTATTTTCTTGGCCTTTTTCTATGTAAACCAACGAACAATATGGCCCAGCTTTCTTCACTGTAAGAAATCCTCTTCTACTTAAGTGAGGTTTGAATGCATAGGGTGATCATCACAGCAAGGGAGGAAAACAGATTTCACTTGTGCAGCACTTAAGTGAAGGGCCATTGTGAGGTTTGCAGTAGCAGTGTTTTTTTTGGTTTGTACTGCAAGCCCTTTGAAGAATATAAGGATAATTTAGCCCCAGGACCGCTAGCCTTGGAGGACCAACTGGCTTATGGCTGGTTTGAAAATTTATTTTGCCTACTGACCTTTTGGGGATTTACTCTGTGCCAGGGAGAGGAGTATCTTGGTCTTGGTTGACCCTGCATACAACCAAACAGTTCCTAGGACCTGAGAGAATGCTGTGTCCCTAGGGCTTCTTTACAAGGGCACATGGGCCCACACCTGGCCTCTTTTGCGCTTTGGGGTGCCATCAGGTGGCAGCATCTGGAATTGCAGCTGCCATTGCAGCACCGCTCCCTTTCCTGCCAAGCCGCACTGTGAAACTTAATTGCAGTTTTTCATTGGGGGAAATGAGGCTCCTTTGGAGAAGAGTTATGAAGAAGAGATGAACTGACAGTAATGGGTCAGAGGTGTGTCTGGCAATAGAGCCTGTAAACAGCCATTGTATTTAGTATCCACCCATCCTTTGCAGGGAGAGAACTAGAAACTAATTTCAAGATTTTCTTTCCTGAAAGAAGCTTTGGTGCAGTCTTTCAAGCTCCCCGGTAGCAGCAATTGCTGCCCTGCTTGTAGGGTACAGTGCTGGTTGGGTAATCTTTAAAGTCAAGGAGCGTTGATCGTGCATCTGCTACATCTAGGGTAGCACTGCCAGTGCAGGCCGGATGGGGGAGCGCTGTCTTGGAGAGCTGGACGAGTACTTCGGGAGGCAGGATGTATGCTCACGCTAACAGTGTGACAGACGCCGAATGTGCGGCTCTGGATTATGTCTCAGGTATTCGGAAGGAACACGGACCTGGGCGTTCAAGGAAAGGGAGAGCCGAGCAGGTCGGGAAGGAGTTTGGGGCCTGGAGGATGAGCCATTGTGCCCGGAGCTTGGTCGGAAGAGACGGTTGAGATTGTTAGACTGGGAAGGAGCTTGGAAGGAGAGTTTAGCCACCTTTCAGGGAGGAGGTTAGACAGCTCACAGGTGAGTTGAGTTTTGGCTGGGTCACTGAGGCGGTTTTAGTGCTTTCTTCCCCACTTAGTAAGTATTAAACAATAAAGTCTATGAATTGAAGAGTTTTGGACGAGTGGGTCTTCAAAGTTTCTTCTGTTCTTCCCAACTGATAATTCTGTGAGATTAAAACTATTCTGGAAGGAACGTTATTTACAAGGAGACTTTTATTTATTCTTTTTGGGGGGACACTTTTAATTACATTTAATGATATTAATTTCAAAGAAAAGAGCTTGCTTAGACATTTTAGTAGTAACTTTTAAGGTAGAATAAAGGCTAACAACCAGCCTTCTATGAGATGGGTGAGGGAGAGAAAAATGGAACGAAAGTAGGGTTAAATTTGTAGCCCTTACACATGTTCTGCGGTCCAGAGTGCCTGGCCAAGCAAGGTAGCAAAATGCTTACACTTTGTAGCAGCTGAGGCAAAAGGGACCCATTGCTAGCGTTTATGCACTTTATAGTGACACATAAATAATAGCAGGTACTCCCACCACTTAGTCTTCAGAAAAATGTTCTTCTGTGGGTACTCATCAGGGTTCTCTCAACAATATCCCCTTAGCTAATGGAGTGCCAGATACCAGACAGTTGCTTTTGTGTAATGTCCCCAGCTCTGTTGGTAGCATAATAACTGAAACGCAGTTCAGTACAAACAGCTGTCTGAAACTGTGCAGTCCCACAAGGCAGTTCTCTGAAGCTCTAGCTTAATTCATGCGTAAAGTATATCGGGAAGCTGAGGCAGGAGGGTCATTGTGAGTCATGGCCACTCTGCTCTTCATGGCAAGACCCTGTTTCAAAAAAAAAAAAAAAGCCGGGTGTGGTGGCACATGCTTATAATCCCAGCATTCGGGAGGCTCAGGCAGGAGAATCGTTGGCAATTTGAGGCCAGCCTGGGCTACAAAGTGAGCTCAAGGCCAGCCTGAACTGCATAATGAGGCCCTGTCTCAAAAAGACAAAGAACAAAAACAGTAAAGTGTTATAATATGCAAAGTGAATCAGGTGTGGTGGCGCATGACTGGAATCCCAGGCTGGACTACAGAGCGAGTTTGTCCTCCCTGGGGTGTACATATCGGGACCCTGTCTCCAAAAATAACAATACAGTTTAGGAGAGCGTAAGCAGTAATACTTGACCATTCATTCTAGAAAACAAACTTCTCTGGGAAATGGATGATAGGTCTGGGTCCCCTCCTTTGCCAGTGCATAGATACATAATCATAGCAAATTTTACATGTTATGTAGGAAATTGAGAATTTTAGAGGCGGAGTCATGGTTTCGCTCTCCTTTGCCCGGCCCCCGACTCATGCACAAGCTGAGTGGCAGGGTCTTGAGTGGCAGGAGGCGGCCGTGAGTGGCTGGTGAGAGCCTGCAGCCGGGATGGTGGGTTTTGAGGACGCACCCATCTGCTCCAGCAGGAAGTCATCTCGAGGAGGAGATAATCTATTTATGACGGTTGTGAGCTCGGCAGGGCATGTCTGGACACAAGATGTTTACTCCACGTTAGCAAGAATGTGGCCGGGAATGCGATTTTTGCAGGGGATGACTAATACACTAAAAGGGCCCTGAATCGCTCTCTTTCAGAAAAAAGAGATTTTAGTCTGGAGAAATTGTAAGACAGATGTTACAAAGTATTCTGAGCTACCTAAAAAAGGAGAAATTACTATGATTGTTGATATTTGATATTCTTGATAAAGAGTTCTTTGAAGGTCTAATTTTAAGGACTTACAGTTTAATGAATTTAAAATCCTGTGTAGGGCGATCTAGGGAAGCGGAATGACTTTATTTGCTTCGGGGATTGTTTGTCTCTGAGTCAGTTACATGTTGGCAATGTTTATCTGTCCAGTTATATCTGCTTAAGATTTTCATTATGGTTTCTTTTGCACTGCAGGGTTTTAATCTTGGGCGCTTCCGGCGGGGTCGGTACTTTCGCGATACAGGTAATGCATTTTTTTAACCTTGTAAATAGGAAGATTTTGTTTTCCTGAATTTAAAAATTCACGTTTATAAATTGCTTTTCCTTAAAAGCCAAGAGAAAGATAGCTCTCATAAATGCATTGTACTTTCAATTGCTCTTGCAGGAGGAACACGTTCTATGTAGGAGGAAGTGTTCCCCTTTCCAGTGGTTTGACATGTGTTTGTATAGTGAACGTCAGGGAGCTCTCGGGGGACCAGGGGCAGTACAAGTAGATGGACGTTTGCAGTTTAATAGGAAATGGCCAGTTCCAATCAGAATTTCTGCGGGTCTTTTTTTGTCTTTTTGAGACAGGATTTTACTATGCAGTTTAGGCTGGCCTTGAACTCACTTTGTAGCCCAGGCTGGCCTCATATCCTCCTGTCTCAGCTTCCTGAGTGCTAGGATTACAGGCGTGCACCACCACACCCAGGCTTCTGCAGGTTTTTTGTAGACACTGATGAGGTTATTCTGAAGTATACGTAGAAATGTGGTAGCCGAAATACTGTTAAGATGGCAATACTCTCCCAGAGTGATTTACACATTCAGTGCAACACCAATCAGAATGCCAGATGCCTTTTTTGTGTAAGTGGACAGTGTATCCTGAAGCATATATGGAATTGCAAAGGTCTTGAGGGGCCAGTCTTTCCCCAGTATAGGGGTTGGTGAGCACCCTCGGAGGCTCTGCTACATCCTTTTCCTAGAGGGAACATTTGGGTGCTGTGCACCTCCTGAGGCCCTAAACCTTTTGGGGACCCAGATGATACTCAGGGCTTCCCATTCCTCTGCGAATCTTGACTCTTTCATTTGTTTGTTCGTTCTTTCTGTGGTACTACTGAGGATAGATATCCAGGACTCAGTCCAGACACTTTCTTAATAAATGTTTTAAATAAATAAGTAAATAAAAGAGGAAAACACAGGAAGAAAAAAGAAAAGAGAAAAATCATGCCTTGCTGGTTAATGTAAAAACTGCCACTGTGTAGGAAAACCATTTGGTGCCATCAAATAAATTTGAGTATACATTGCCCCATGACAACCCAATAATTCCAATCTTGGGCATGTACCCTGTAGATAAGTGCAGCGTGTTTACCAAAAGATATTACCAGAATTTCTGAACCAGACTGTTCTGTTGATGTGCCTCATCGGAAACAACACAACTGTCCATCAGTAGTAAAATGAATGAACAAACGGATAGATTCTTACCTTGTGATATTATAGCATCATGAAAACAAACCGTAATTAGAAACAGTGGAGTTGTTGAATTTCACAATCAGAAGGTTGAGTGAATTCAAATACAGAGGCAGATCCTCCTATATAATTACATTCAGTTGCATTCAATTACATTCAAAAACACAAACTAATAGCTGTAAGAATACCTACTAAATAAAACTTTCTTTAATGTCAAAAACTGTAATAGAAATCATGATCGTCATTACTCTAAGAGAGTGAATATTATCTGTGGAACAAAACTAAATGGGGGTTTAAAAGGAGAGAGTATAGTGGGCCCATATATGCTCTGAGAAAGCAAATATAGCACAACTTGCTCTTTTTAAAAGGATAAAATAGAATAGCATGTGCTAAAATTATTTTCATGCTTTTATTAATTATATTGCTAGTGATATTAGCATGCAGGCTGTCGTGTGTATAATATACAATAGAACAAATAGGTATTTAGGTATGTTTTAATCCTGCTGTTATGGTTAGTGTCTGTGTGTCCCCCGAAAGCCTCATGCTGTCATGGGGCAGGCTTTTAGAGTTTGATTGATTATGGAAGGGAGAGGAAGTTTGCATATGTAAGGGAGAAGAAGAGGCTGCTTGCGGCCATTCCTCCCTTGTGTGTGTGCTTGTTGCTTTGGTTGTGTTCTGCCGCTATGAGCTGTAGCCCTCTGCCATGTGCTACTCTGCCTTGTAACCTGCCAAGTATGGACTGAAACCTCCCCAAACTGTAAGTGAAATAAACTTTTCCTTCCTTAATTTTGGGTGTCAGGTATTTTGTCCCAGCAACGAGAGAAAAGTAACCAAGATACCTGCCAAACCCTGTGTCTCTAGAAGCATGACTCTCAAGAGAGATAGCTGGAACAGAGAATGCAGGGCTTCATGGAGAAAAAGATTTCAGATCTAAGGCAGCAAATGTAGAAGAATAACCTTGAAATGTATTAAGCAGCAAAGAAGCTGTCAAAGACTTGTCAGGTTGATTGAAACCTTTTAAATGTATTTAAACCCATGAGTTCATGTTAATGTATTTTTAAAAAAAGTGGTCATGTTCAGAAGGTGATAAGAATTATAAGGTGATAAGATAAATTGGTGATAAATCAATTTATTGTTTTATAAACTGATAAATGAAAATAATTAAGGATTTGTCTTGACTTTTCTATGACTCATATAAGCAAGTAAACTCAGTAGTCAGAAGTGTTAATTTACAAAAGCTTTGTTTCCATTTTTTCTTTCTACTGTTTTTTTTCTTCTCCCTTCTTTCCTTTTCCCCTTCCTCTCCCTTGTTCCTCTTCTCATTTGAACATTTTCTTCCTATTTCCCAAAATTTATTACACATTTTGTTCTTTATTTACACTTTCAGTTTCTCACACCAGAGAAACAATGTGGTATTTACACATGCGTGCCCAATTGATTTCACTTAAAAGTGTGGTCTCAGTGTGCATCCATTTAGCTAGAAGTGTCTCAAGCTCATCCTTATGGCAGAGTAGTACTCCACTGAATAAAAAAAAAACACAGCATCTTTATCCATTCATTGATTGATGGCATTTGGGCTGTTTCCAAGATTTAGCTATTACTGTGCTGCTATAAACATAGGTGTGCATGTATCACTGTGGTATGGTCCCTTTAAATCTTTTGGGAAGATACCAAGAAGGGAAATAGCTGGGTCAAATGGAACCTCTAGTTTTAGTTTTTTGAGGAATTTCTACCCTGATTTCCACAATGGTTGCGCCAGTCTACACTCCCACCAACAGTGGAGAAGTATTCCTCTTTCCCCACAGCCCTGCCAACATTTGTTGTTGGTTGGTTTCTTGATATTAGCCATTCTTTCTGGAGTGAGATGGAATCTCAGTGTTGTTTTAATTTGCATCTCTCAAATGACCAGTGATGTTGAGCTTTTTTTTCGTGTATTTATTTGTCATTTCTACTTCTTCATCTGAGAAGTGTCTGTTCATTTCAGATGTCCACTTTTGGATTGGGTCTTTAAATTTGGGGAGAGTCTGATTTTTCTGAGTTCTTTATGTATTCTAGATAATAGTCCTTTGTCTGAAGAACAGCTGGCAACAATTTTTTTCCACACTGTGGGTTGTCTTTTCACTCTGTTGGTGGTCTCTTTTGCTGTGAAAAGCTTTCTAAGATTAGATCCCAGTTGCTGATTGTTTGTGATAGTTCCTCTGCAATCGGGGTTTTGTTCATTAAGTTTTTGCCTATACCAGTGTTATCAAAAGTTCTACCTATTCTGTCTTCCAGCCGATTTAGTGTTTCTGTTTTCATAGTTAGATGTTTAATCCTTTTCAATTTTAGTGTAGTGCATGGTGAAAGATATGGGTCTCAGTTTAATCTTTGGCATGTGGAAAGCCAGTTTTCCCAGCACCATTTATTAAAGAGAGTATCTTCCTTCTAGTGAAAGTGTTTGGCTTCCTTGTCAAAGATAAGGTGGTTGAGTATGTTTGTAGTTGTTTTTGCATCTTCTAATCCATTCCATTGATGCTTGGGTCTATTTTTTTTTTTCCAGTACCATGCTATTTTTATCATAGTAGCTTTGTAGTAGAATTTCTTTCTTTCTTTTTTTTTGGTACCAGGGATCAAACTCAGGATCTCGCACTTGCCAGGCAGGCGCTTGTACTACTGAGGTATATCCCCGGCCCCTTGTAGTAGAATTTCAAGTGAGAGAGATTGTGATGTCTCCTGTCATACCTTTGTTGCCTAGAATTGCTTTTGCTATTCTAGTTCTCCTCTAATTCCAAATGGATTTTAGGGTAGTTTTCTCTAATTCTGTGAGAGACCTGTTGAAATTTTGATCAGAATTGCATTAAATTTGTATAACAATTTTGGAATTATGTCCATTTTCACTATATTGGTTATTTCTACCCAAGAACAAGGGATATCTTTCCATTTTCTGACATCCTCTTTGATCTCCTGTTTGAGTACTATAGTTTTCAGTGTAGAAATCTTTTACATTCTTCATTAGATTGAGACCTAGGCATGTCATTTTTTTTGGATGTTATTGTGGAAGATGTTGTTTCCATAATTTCTCTCTCAATGAGTTTATTTGTGTACAGGAATGCTATTGATTTTTGAGTGTTGACTTTGTATCCAGCTCACTACTGAATTTTATTATTAATTCTAGAAGTCTTTTGGTGGAATTTTTAGAGTAAAGTTTTGATGTAAAGTATCCTATCGTGCACAAATATTGGTAATTTAACTTCTACCTTTCCTATTCTTATTCCTTTTATTTCTTTTTCTTGTTTAATTCTCTGGCTAACATTTCCAGAACTGTATTAAATAAGAGTGGTGACAGTGGACACCCTTGTCTTGTTCTTGATTGAGGAGTGAAAGCTTTCAGTTTTTTGACCTTTTAGTATGATGTTGGCTATTGGTTTGTTATAGATGGCTTTTATCAGATTGAGTTAAAACCATCTATTTCAATTTTCTGTGTGTTTTTTTTTTTAACATGAATAGTTGTTGGACTTTGTCAAACTCTGTGTATGTCTACTGAGATGATCATATGGTTTTCATCCTTGGCTCTTGGTAATGTGGTGTATTACATTTATTGATTTGCATATGTTGAACCATCCCTGCATCCCTAGAATGAATCCTACTTGGTCACGGTATATAATCTTCTTGATGATTTGCTGCATTCTGTTTGCCAGTATCTTGAGGATTTTTGCATCTATGTTTATTGGGGAGATTGGCCTGTAGTTCTCTGTTTTGGTTGGGTCCTTCTCTGGTTTTGGTATCAGGGTGATACTTACTTCCAAGAGTTTGGGAGTA